ATTTACGATAAAATAATTGTCAGCACTGTTGTGTATTAGCTTTCAGTTACTCCTTTTATAATTTTTAGTGAGCTGAGAAATTTGGTTATAAGTTTCCAGGCCAATGTATAAACAGGCAATCACCAGACAATGTCATACAATATTTTGTAATAAAGGTAATTTTAAAAGTAGTCTTCTCAATTCAAGAAGGAACATTAAGGGCCAAATTATGGACTGACTGGTAAACGTCTGGTTGTTACCTAGCAGGTACTTTCTATGCACTAGAGAATAGAAAGTACCTGCTAGGTAACAACCAGACACTTATCAGTTGGTCCATAATTTGGCCCTAAAAGCACAAACTCAACTATCATCTGTATCGGTGGCTATCTTGAACCCTTGAATGTCAGGAATGCAGGTGACGTCACAGCACTTGTGAACAAATCTACCCGATTGAGCAATCCTGTAGAGTTTACGATTCTTGGTTTACATCTAAAACATATTATTTTGCTTTTGTCTCGTTTATTAGCAGCTGTTCCATTGGCATTTCTATTGCTGCTAGCGCCATCTTTCGGTTTCTTTCGAAAATTTCTACCTTTGACAACACAGCCCCACCTTTACTGCTAGAACCATCTGTGTCCATGTCGAACAACTTGTTATTGAAATTCTTGCATGCTCGATTGTCATGAGCATTGGGGAATATTTATCTGGCAACCCTGCCAACAACAAAGAGCCAATCCATCATTCTTCTGAAATACTTATTGAAATCGGTTTTTCTCAATCTTTGTGCTGTTTCAATCGCCTGATTGACATAGATTTCCATGCTATCGTAGTTTTCTAGTCTCAAGGATATGAGATTTCTGATCAAACCAATTTTTCTTGCAAACCCTGTGTCTGCATAAAGCTTGCTGATTTTGTCCCAAACGTCTTTGCACGTGCCTACGTGTATACGTACAATGATGGAATGATGGATCAATAGTCAGGATCAATTTAGCTTTTGCTTTTCCAATCAACACAGTGTCGGTCTCAGTACCGTCAACACATTTCATCAATCACGAAACAGTTTTCCACAGCAAACGACCACTCTTATACAGGGTGTCCGGAAAATAGCGTAAAAGCTCTTCGCTACGTGGTGGAGGACCCTTCAAGGAACCCCAGAAAAATAATTTAAAAAATCTGGTGGCATTCTTAAGAAATTTATTAGCATTTTAATGTTTATTAAAACTGGCAGGACTGAAAATATCCCGTTGGAAATTTGTCACAGAATTAAATTAAATACCTGTGTAATTACCTGAAAAATTCGAAGGTGACTAAAAAATGTTGTCAGATCAATTTTTCCTGTTGTAATTTAGAGATTTTGCAATTTTCATAATGCATTTTAAAGGTTGACAACAAATTTTTATAAACCATTATGTAATGAATAAACAAAAGGTACCTAACACTTTGTACAAAATATTGCAATTTGAAAAAAAAAAATCAAAAATAGGGAAGTTGAATTTCCACTTTTACCTCTTCGTATTTTCAAGAATGGTCGAGGAGGATTTTTTTAATTATTTTTCCAAGGTTACTCAAAAGGTCCACTATTACGTAGTGGAGAGCGTTTACGCTATTTTCCGGACACCCTGTATACATATAATACATATTACTTTCTGGCTGGCACAATTTTTCATCAAGTAGGCCGTGTATTTATTACAACAAATGTCAAGAAATGGGCACTTTCGAGAATTAACTAGATTATACCGTCATACAACAAAAAACAAATCAATTTATTGTCATTTTTTCATTCTAATTTGACAGAAATGACAATTGGCAAATGAATTCAAGAGCCGGGAATAAAAACTAATCGATCTTTCACATTAGCAGTCCTTGATTAATAATAATGAGAAAATATTTTTTTAGCGAGTTAACCTTACATTTTTCAAATGTCATAATATTAGGCACCTGCTCAAATGAATCAGTGTCCTTTTTGGTTTATTCTTCTCCCTCCTTAATTAATCAGTAATATTGACGTATGTACGATATGTAATATGACTTGTAGCTCCATTATCCACAAACCAGCTATTCTCCTCACATTCGCTAAATAAGACACTACTTGTTAAGGCAACTAACATCATGTTTGTATCCTTATTTTTCTGTGTTCTGTTATTTCTTGAATTTGAGCTTTCTGGTTTTGGAGGTTTAGTATCTTGTTTCCATTCAATACATTGTTTGACCTTATGACCTCTTTTGCAATAATAGGGTACTTACATCAATTTTTTTTATTGCTGATTTCGTTAGTCCATAAAAAATAAGTCAACACGTGTTTTTTCTTTTTCTTCTTAGTCAAAAATTGACGGAGATATAACGCTATGAAATATGCCTATGACGTCACTTATGAAATAAATTAGTGACGTTGCACATGCTCAGTATATCTATATATACAAAACTTAATATTTGTATAACTTCCGGAATAATCATATTTGGGCGAAATTGAAAAAAAGTAGCGATTTTTTTTCGATTTCCTACAGTTTGCAATAAACAATAATCAATTTAATTTTCCATGCAAGTACCCTATTGCAAACTAGATTTCTCCTATTGGTCGAGCTGTTTCTCTTTTCTGCAAGCAACGCCTCCTGATGACTTTCATCATTCTTGTCTGACAATGCCTTCTCATGAGAACAAAGCTGATTTGTTAAATTGTCTACAGTCCTTTCAGATTTCGACATTAACATTCAGCTTGACTTGAAGGAGAAGTAGTCTTTGGGTAGGGTTTCTAAAATCTAACAGACAAACAGCAACTCAGGTAACTCACAATTACATGTTTTATTTGTGATGATTTTGTCTTCTGATAACCCCTTTTGCAGGTCATTCCACAGGTTCTTGAGCTTAAACGTATGCGCTGCCATATATATCATCTTCAACTTTCTCCTTACAGTTAAAGAGTTCTATAAGCAAACATCATAGGTTTTGTCCTCGACATTGCCATCAAAGAGCCTTTTCAATTCAACCCACACTTCTCTTGCTGTAGAAAACCTCATACATTTTTGTAAGGTATCTTGTGTCATATTTATCGTGAGAGCAAGAAGTGCATTACAATTTACAATCTGCAGTATTGAAACTCACCAGGCTTCCCTCATGCGCAGCAATTTCAACTGCTAACGCTTTTTCTTTCAAAACTGGGAGCACCTACTTTCCTTCCAAAATATCAACTGCATTTGGAATACCTCTTAGAAGAATGTTGATTTTGTACTTCCCTGTGGTCCAGTTAGCTTTACCTTCCAGTAATCCTATATGAACTTTGCTTGGATCCATATGGCCTTCAAAGTTCAATCACTACTTTTTCGTACTAATTCAGCCCTTGATATTCTTTATTTTTCTCGCTTCTTTTAACGCTCTGCTACCATTTTAAAGTTTGAGAAATCATGATTGAAATTAAGAGGAAAATAGGAAATATATTTGAAACACCAATACAAAAGTGATTAATCAATTGACTCTCTGTAATACACCTTTTTAAAATATAATAATAAAATGACTTCCATAAAGATGTGGAATTTTCTTCAACATCAGAAACTAGGAATTTCCTTAAACAATAGTCGATAAACCCTTTATTAAAAGGACGAAAAACGAAATTGTTAATGAAGTTGATGGACGCTCATTTTCCATACTGAGCAAACTCACATTGTGGGGTCAAAAAAATTGGACCTTCATTGCACCTTCATGCACTAATTGAAGTCGAAAAAAGAATTATATTCCTTGGTACGGTTCTGGTTGTGGTTAATAGAGACGGTAAAAGCGACCGATGACGTTCCCGCAAAGCGAACGAGTGAGATAGGAAAAAAAAAACGGTGAAATCGTGAACGTTAAAATAATAGGAAAGAAACGCCGAACTAAGCAAAACTACGTACGGACAATGGCGAAACAAGTTTTAGTTCAACAACCTGCTCTGATGGTCATAATGGTGTCTTTTTTATGTTTCGACTACTATTCGTAGTTTGTTTAGAGAATATGTACAACCATCAGAAAATGTGGACATTGTATCCCAAAGTAATTTTGAATCTCTACACTATAATTAATTTGTCAAGTCCCATAAAAAAAGTTTTTAAAGAGCCAGTTACATTTCTATTTTAACAACTGCGACTGTGTTTATTTAACAATTCCATGCATAAGCGTTAATTGACTGCGGCGTGTGCAGAAAATGGTTTACTTTTCCTTAGTCGGCATACTGACTTCATGGAAAGACTAATAGTAACTATTAATTTCTCTGTTGTGCTTTAAGAAATTGAAGGTTATGTAAACAAAAATCGCCCGAAAGTTATACTATACAGAGTGATTTACATAGCCCGTGCATTAGATTATAGATATATTAGATGCTATCTCTACTAATCCACCTGTAATCTTGAAAAATTCTAGGCTACGTAAATCCAGGTGTATAGTTTAACTTGCTCGCAAGTGAAAAAGCTAGAAATTTGCAGAGCTCGCAGTAGAAATGTTTTCGCCAAAAAGTTGCCGTCTTCCACGGCATAACAACTTATTTTAAAAACAACAATGCCATTTTTCATGGCGTGGAAACTTTTATTCAGTCATAGCGCCGGGGTTAGTAAAGGACTTAAAAATCTACATGCAATAATGAGAAAAATATTAATGTTTTCTAAAATAAACCGTCTGTTTGAAATTCGTTAAAGACATCAAGAGAATTTTTTTATATGTCAGCGGCTTTCTACCATCAACAATCAACATAAACATTTACTATTATTTCACTTCCTATTGCGGAGACTCTAAACGATCTTTCACATACACACAATCCTTATCTGCTGTTATGCCTTCACGCTTGATATAGTCAGAGCAACACATGCCACACGTGCGAATATCTTTCTCTCGCTCATTGGCAAAGACCAGTTTTAATGCCGACACACGTACTTAAATATCGCGAAATATCGCATCTAAACTTGAATCTAAAAATAGTAAAGAGAGAACAATTCTCTTGGCCTATTTTTGCATTCATAGGCGTACTTAATATACTAATAGTGACTTTCTTTTTGTTCCAGAAAAAGCCGCTGCGGTTCTTCTACAGAATCTTCACTCCGTTGAAAATTCAGCCAATCAAAATCGTCAACACACCTACTGCCACTGGCGGCAAACAATTACAAATTGTTCCTGTTACTAACGTACAACCGATTTTAAAATCGCCAACACCAATAATCGATATAAAAGAAACTGAAAGCGAGCAGCTTGATAAAGAAACATTGATGGCCAATTTACAACTTCAAAGTAAATCGAAAGCTATGCAACTTCAAGCAGCAAAAAAAATGCAACAAGTACCTGAAAAAATAGTCAAAGATTGCATTTACGAGTACGAAGAACCCGACCAAGAGGAAATCAAAAGATTCGCAGAGAAACGCGACAGAGAATGGGCCTTGCAAAAGAAACTTGAAGAAGAAACCAAAGCCGATCACAGAGATACTTATTTTCCAACCAAAAAACGAAAAAAGAGCAAGCATTCAAAAACCGACTCCAACGGCCATAAAGAAAAGAAACGGAAACCACACGGTGATAAAATCCATGCTGAAATCACCAACAATGACAAATCCGACTTGAAACTAAAAGTAAAAATCACCAACGGCCACAAACACAAACATCATAAAATCGAAAATAACTCTGAAATTAGCCACAAAGAAAAGCTATTGCAAATGAGACAAGTCAGGCATCATAAACATGGATCTGGAGATGAAAAACCCAATCAACCAATACCAACAATAAAATTACCTAAATCTATTGTTGAGTCTACCTCAGAAGAACCAGAAGCTAAACGTCGAAAAGAAAATCCCACCACTATCAGTGAAAACAACAATAAACCTTTACCAATGGAATCTCATCAAAAACCAAAACCAAGAATCGAACCGATGATAATTAAACCAGAGACCAAACCAATCCCAAGTGTATCAAGGCCCATGCCTCAACTACCCTCGAAAGTAGCCAAAAAAGAAGCTACAGTTAAGCCAGTTTTTGAGCTTAATCAGAAGACATTTCTTAAGACTGCTGGAGCTAATACCGACAAATACTCCAAAGATCAGAAAATCGGCCAGGGCAAAGTGGAAAACAATAAAACTTCAATGAGCAACAAAGTGCTTCCAATTGGAAGCATTACAACCAACAATAAAATGCTCGATAGGAAAATTGCTAACTTACAACAAAGGTGTACGATTGAACCTAAAAATCCAGCTATTAATGGAAAAATTACCAATAATGAAAAAAGTAAACTTATAAATCCTAAATATCCTCCTGGGTTCACTGTGAGTAAAATTGAAAGTGGTGTTAAAAGGCCAGCGTCACAAGACGATGCAGAACAAGACAAAAGACCAAGTCTTGAAATTACTTTAATCCCTCCTGCATCAACAAAAACAAGCGAAGCTAAGGTGGTAAACAAACGACCACCTCCAGGAACAATACCTTTGGAACGAATCAAAAATGCTGTTAACCTTAAATCAGGCATAAGCATTATTCCTAAAATGCCCAGTCACGACAATAATACCAAAACTGATAATAATGGTGTTCTAGATTTATCCAAAACAAAATCTATGACTGAAAATCCGCAAAAATCAAAAACTGAACCAATTAACGGACTTAATTCCATGATCAATAGGCAAATAAATAACATGGCAAGGCCTATGAGTTCGCCTAGTGGCGAACCTGGTAAAAATATGCAACTCTCCAACCTGCAAATGCTTTCGAAAGTTGCCACAGAACATCCAACTTTAAATAAAGGTAATCCATCAAACAATAAAGTTAGGCCTCAGATGCCAAATTTGCAAACAATCAACAAAATGCCTGGAATGGCTTCACCATTAAGAGCGGCAGGTATGCAACGCATGCCTCCTAAATTGAATGATATTCAGCAAAAATTCAGGCCAAATAATCCGCAAATACGGAACATGAGGCCAAATCAAAATCAAAATATTAGGAATATTCCTAATCCTAGTTTGATGTTGAACAGACATCAGAATATGAACCAAGCTAGATTGGTCGTGTCAAGCACAAATAATTCAGCCGAAAATACTGCTAAAAAAGTGTCTACTCCTAAATCTTCTCCAGTATCATCAGGGCCATCCCCAGTGACTTCGACCACAACAACTGTTAATAATAAAGAGGTTCAGTCATCGGGTAAAGCCGTGATACTAGAGCAAAAAGTGGCCGAGGCTAAGGATATTTCTGTGTAAAATTTATGGTGTAAACATAGACACTACAGAAGATGTAATGTATTTGTAGTCTGATGCTGAAACTTCTGGTGTAGGTAATAAAGAAGATTCTCGTAAGTAACTTCACATAAACTTACTAGTAGATTAAATTATAAAATGTGATAATAAATTTAAGATAGAGGCTTTCAAAAAAAAAATGAAAATGTAAATAAAAAAATAAAAAATAATATACAAACATAATTATTATTATTGCTTTAAATGTTTATATGTTATAGTAATTACAAGCATTTAAGTTCCTGATTTCACAGACATTAATACCTATGACTATTGATTATTTTTCTCATTGTTAATGTTATCTTTTTTTTTTAAATAATATTTGTTGTACATTTTGTTATATTTTATTAATATCTTTTTATCTTTTGATTCTCGCGGCATTTTTGTTTTGATAAGGATACCTCACTATTAATAATTTTGTAAATAATTTTAAAATTATAATGTATTAATATTTTGTATATATTTGTTATAAACATAATTATTATCGTGGTTTTAGATGCACTTTTAATTGTCTTTTGAAGATTTTAAGTTTAATTTCAATTTCGTATAGGTACTGATATCTAGCATGTTCCCAGTGTAAACTTACCATCACTGATTATAGTTGTAGAATTATAATTAAGATAAGGTAATTAAGTGTAATTGTAGGAATTTTATCTGTATATTATTTGTTCTCTAAAACAACCGTCATAAATGGTGTAATTTTTGTGTAGAGAGTATTGTGTATTATTAAAAAGTAATATTTGAAAATTTTTGATAGTTTTATTCCACCTTTTCTCAATTTACAGCGAAGAATATTGGTAAAATGGAGCATCAATAATCTACTTACTTAAAACATGATACGGCGCATTAGTAATGACGTCACATGTTGAGATAGGTTATGGTTGCCGTATCTAAACAAACATCATGCTAATTTTGATTTTAACCAATGGATATTTTTGCAGAAACTGTTTTTTTTTTTAATTCTTTGCAATTAACTTAACATATTTACTTGAACCTTGACCTTGTTAATATATGTTAAATATTTATCTTAATAGCGAGGGAAATCCAATTCAAAACAATATTTTTACATAAACCTTTCTTTCTTGTCAAATTATTGTTTTTGGTATTTTTTGAAAAATAAAAAAGTTATTTTTGTATCTAGTGCGCGAAATGCTACTTTGGAAATCGAGTCTGATTTTTTTAACGAGGCGCAGCGGAGTTAAAAAAATAGTTGAGATCACCAAAGTATTTCGCGTCCGAGTTGCAAACAATATTTTTTCTACAACTGTCAAAAAATGATGATGTTCGCACACTCATGACAGTTTGCGAAGTGACACTTTTTTTCCCAGGTATTGATTTTTTAACGTTCCCATGACGCCGTGCGCGAACTAGCTATTTCGCGCACACGTGCGCGAAATAGCTAGTTCGCACACTGGGTGTCATGGTGACACATACCTGTCAGGAAATCAAAAATAATTAAAATTCACCTACCTTTGATTGAAAATGCAATGCTTCGAATGATTGATATTTAAATGGAGTTGTAGAAAAAATATTGTTTGCAACTCGGGCGCGAAATACTTTGGTGGGTAAAAATAACTTATTTTTGTATCTAGTGCGCGAAATGCTACTTTGGTGATCGAGATTTGATTTTTTTAACGAGGCGCAGCGGAGTTAATAAAATAGTCGAGATCACCAAAGTATTTCGCGCCCGAGTTGCAAACAATATTTTTCTACAACTCCATTCAAATATCGATAATTCGATGCTAAAATTGCATTAACAATCAAAGGCAAGTGAATTTTTATTATTTTTGGTTTCCTGTCAGGTGCCAGGTTTTTGTTACCTGAGTGTGCGAACTAAGCATTTCGCACACTAGTGTGCGAAATAGTAAGTTCGCACACGGCGTCATGGGAACGTTAAAAAATCAATACCTGGGAAAAAAAGTATCACTTCGCAAACTGTCATGAGTGTGCGAACATCATCATTTTTTGACAGTTGTAGAAAAACTAATTTTAGTATAAATAGCACTGGCTTTGTTTTGTAGAACAACAGTACTACATTTACATTTACAACCATTACAATATTAGAAAAAAGTGCAAATTAAGAACGGACGAAAAGGTTGTTTATCGCTGTCAATTTATACCGTCACACTAATGAAATGTATAGGTGCTATATTTCCTTGACGTCAAAGTGGGAAGCAGTGTGAGAAATTTTTCCATCCGACTTGTGCGATCGACGAGGAATGCCTGTAGCTTGTTTACTGTGTTTGACGTTTGATAATTAAAAAGATGATCGCTTATCTTCGTAGTTCTGAGAAAAAGTGCCTTATCTCATCTTAGAGCGTAACGTTTTACGACAAATGGCTTTGGATTGGTCTATAGCAGGTAGCGTTTAATGTTCGAAAATCGAAAATTAAAATAATGAATCCGGAATATCCTCCGGAATTTACCCTTATAGGACGACCAGCGTAGCGTCACAAGATGAAAGTAGTATATTAAAATACAAGTTGCAGAAGGCCACATATTCCCGCACGAATTCGAAATTTGGACACGAGCGACGAAGGAGCGAGTGGACGAACGAATGAGTGCGGGAATAGCCTTCTGCAACGTGAGTTCTATACTATTTTCTCGATTTTGGATTTTATTTTTCATTTTTTAAAACTTTTTTGTGGTCGCTGTTAGTTCGGGATTTTTTTTTCGCAAAATATGTCAGTTGGTGACACTTATTTACCAACCAACTGACTGGTGGATTTAATTATTTTAAAAGGTTTGACAATTTTGAATAAGGTACCAATAGGTATACTTTGAGAACTGAATGTCACTAAAAATCGTTGAAGAAAGTCTTATTTCTAAATGAGCAATATTGCCAATTTTGTGATGGACCTTAAATAGGTTCCACTCTGAGTTTTAACCTCTACGACTCTTACCATTTCCATCCTGCCCTGGCATTACTTTTAAAATGCGAGCCATTGGCCACTTTAGAGAAGGAATATTAGGCAATTCAATCCATCTGTCAAAATGGAAAATTCAATATGGCGTGGCAGCCAAGCAAGTTTGTTTTGATTATGTTTTTATGCTTATTTTAAATTATTTTGCTTAGAGTTTGGTTTGCAACTTTGATTTTGATTATTTGATAAAATATTTGTTGACTAGAAACCTGAACTATTAAATCGGGTGAAAACTACCCAGCAAACACGGAAAGTCAGCCGCTGCGCAAAAACTGTGATACTGTGCTGTACTTGTTGTACAGCGATGTAGACGAAGCAGCTGCATCAGCCCGGACTATAATATGTCCCACCGGCCGGCATCTGGCGCTGCACTGTTCATGCTGCATTTGAGTACAGCCACTGTGCAGTAGCTCTGTCTCTTCATTAGGCAATTTTTACACAGCAATAACGCAGCGCTCTTGCAGACGTCGTACATATTTGTTTCGCAATAACTGTGCAGCCAATATACCGTTTAGGTATATTTACCTGTGGCACTCTAAATTTAATGGACATAATTTATTTTATATAGACAGGATATTTTTGAAAAATGACAAAACAAATTAAAGTATATAGAATATATTGAGGAGTGGGACATTAAACAATAATATTCCTTATTCGTTAACCATATTTTGGTGGCTTTTTCAGCTTCTGATTGAGACGCATTTTGACTGGCTCTATTTTTTCTTACATCGACTAAATAAGGACAAAATTGAGTTAAAATTTAAAAACCGTTTTACCTTGCATCAACTTACCTAAATTGCTTTATTGATGTTGATATTATAGGTATATTCTGAAAATTGTGCTTTTTGAAGTCAGCTGAGGAGTTGAATTTTTAGATAATAATCTGGCTAATATGTTCCTACATACTTCTTCAGTGTTTCTGCCCCCTAGTATTCCAAGACTATTTACCTGAAAGATTATTTCTCTTTTGTAAATCCATTTTTTAAATCACAAAAATAGAAAACGGAAAACGGGGGCAAATAGAAAAACGATAGAAAACTTAGGTTATGATAATACGGGGGCCTTTGTTTTTGTTTATTTGTATCAATTTTTCACCTACCTTGTTTGCTCTTGTTGAAAATAATGCATCTTATACACGTAGTAATTCAAATCACAGGTAAAAGACACGTGAAAAACACCACAAAAATTATAAATCAACGCTGCCCTGCATCAGTGAAACAATACAATACAATAAAATAAAACAAAATGGCTACGCTCACAACTCTACGGCAAAAAATACTGTGCTCGCGCAAATTGGCACATTTCTTTACAGTAACTGCACTAACATTTTACAACAGTTGTTGCATCAATATGCGCATGGGAGATCGAAATAATCTATCGCTTTTCCAATACAAAATCTGCAAAGCCGCTGCATATCAAATACTGCACTTCTAAAATACAGTATTCCCAATACAAGTGCTGCGCAGCATCGATAAAACTATTTATGTGCTGTATTTGGGCTGTGTTCGTGATACAGCAACATTACAGCGCCGATAAGTTGTGTTTGTTGGGTAGATATTTTTTTGTATTTTTTGCCTCATGTGTGGCCGCCACGCCATCTTGATTGTCACGTGGTTTGAATTGCCTAATTATCTTCCTTTAAGAGAACCAACATACCTTCTTAAATCTTAGATATTAGGCACATCAAAGCGCCACTTAGGCCTAGACTGCAATAGAGCTAAGTAATCCTTGTGCCATTTAACCCAAAAGTGTTGCTGCATTTGGCAACAAAGCTTCCAAAATTTGTGCCTATTTTCTGGAATATTAGTAAAATCAGGTTCAGGCAAAACAGTAATTGGTTACCCAATCAAAAAATGACCGGGCGTTAAATACGAAAGATCTGAAGGATCATTTGTCATTTGTGAGAGAGGACGCGATTTAGAATTCTCTCAATTTGAACCACCAAAGTGTTAAATTCTTCATACGTTAATAAAAAAGAGAAACTTCTTAATCCGTAAGTCACAGTTTGTAATTGAAGACACTGTATAGGTCATGCATTGGGATTTTCTCTCCATAGAATATTTCGCAATGGACAATGTTCAGGATTTATTAAAATCATCCTGATGTACAGGGTTATTGGTTATAAATGTCACCCCCTCTATCTTTTTTATTTGACATTTTAGAAAAAAGTGTCTCAAATAAAAAATTTATGGTTAAAATTAAATTTTTTGAAAAACCTACTTTTGCATATACAGGGTATTTCAAAAAAGCTGGTAGTGGTCCAACTTTCTTATTTTAAATCGAATACCCTGTATATTATTCAATATTCGGATTCTACATAAAATTCTGAGCAGATTTCATGTGATATACCCTATACCTAAGTTCAACTGTTTTGGAAATATTGACACCTGAAAATTGACTTTTTTGCAACTTTGACAAGCTGTAAATCCTAAACGGTTAATTTTAGAGCAAAACCGATCTTACATTCTTATCTTATATTTTTATAAACTATCAGTTGACACCAATATTTGACATCAACTTTGAATTTAATCCATGATTGAAAATTCCAATTAAATTTAATCTCCGGTTAAATTCAAAGTTGGTATTAAATGATAACTTGTGAAAATATTAGAAAAAAATGTAAGATCGGTTTTGCTCAAAAGTTAACCGTTTAGGTTTTACAGCCTGTCAAATATGCTAAAAAGTCAATTTTCAACTGTCAATATTTCCAAAACAGTTGAACTTAGGTATAGGGTATATCACATGAAATCTGCTCAGAATTTTATGTAGAATCCGAATATTGAATAATATACAGGATATTCAATTTAAAATAAGAAAGTTG